AAGTCCCACTCAAATCCTTCTCTCCTGTTTCCCCTACAGACCAAAGCATTAAACTTCAGGGGAAAGAGCAATAAATATTGTCATCCTCGGGACACCACTGAAAACCCATTGGTATGAGGAGGGAAGGGAAAAAAACAATTTCTCTGGCTGAGGGACAGGAACAGGAGCTAAGCCCAGAGTTGGTGGAGAACAGGAGTACTAAGAAGCCACACTCCCAAGCCAGGGGCGCATTGCCTTACTTAGGACTGAGGCCTAACAGAGAAGGACCCTTTCCCTTGCCCCCAACCAACCTCATAAGCACCAAGCAACAAATAACAAGTAACAGTGAAATACTGTGGAAAAGAGTTGCAAAAGCATAGAGACATTCTTGGCACAGCATTAAGAGGAGACCTAAAGCTGAGAATGAAAGAGATATTGAGAAAAATTCTCTGACAGTCCATGACAAGCCATACTGGAGCCCAAGGCAAAAGGAAAAATGAGTGTCCCTATACACACTCACCAAAATATCCTCTCATACTTTGAACCAAGTGACAAAAGTGGATAAAAGTTCTACAATAAGTACACATGATTATTTCACAACAGAAAAGCATATTCAAAGAGCTGAAAAGGAAAAAAACAAAAGTAAGACTTTCCAGCCATAATTCTATGTTCACCAAATATATATGTTATAATGGAAAGAGGAAGACCTTCTGAGACAAACAAATCTCTAGGAATTTTATTGCCAGCAAATCTGCACTGTAAGAAATGTTAAGAAAAGTTATTCTGTAAGAAGAAATAAATCAGAAAAATAGGATCTACAAAAAGAAGAGTAACGCAAAGAAAATGGAATAGAAGTATAAAATATTTTCTTTTAATATTTAATTGCTCTGAAATATAAATGATTGTCTTAAGCAAAAATACTAGCTATTTATTGTGTATTTATAGCATATGTAAAAGTAAAATGCTCAACAATAAAAACACAAAGGATGTATTTGTATGCTTGGTTTGATCTGTTCACTTATATTCATATATTATACATAAATCAGTATAATATTATTGGAAAATACACTCTGCTTAATTAACGATGTATATTACAACCCAAAGGACAACTAAAAATTTTAGAAGAGGTATAAATAATAACTCAACAGTGCAGATAAAAGAGAATTAAAAAATGCATACTCCATTATCCTTTAAGAAGTTACAAAAAAGGGAAAAACAATAACAAAAAAGAGAAGGAACAATTAGGAAAACAACTACAAGATGGTAGATTTTAACCCAAACACATCAATAAGCAAATTAAATATAAACAGTCTAAACACACCAATTAAAAGACACAGAATGTCAGATTGGGTAAAAAGACTAAAGTATATGATATGCTATCTACAATAAACTTACTTTACACATAAACACATAGGTCAACAGTAAAAATCATTCAAAACGTTCACTAAGATAGACCATGTTCTGTCCTTTAATACAAATTTCACCACATTTAAAAGAGTATAAATCGGATAAAGTATGCTCTCAGACCATAACTGAAACAAATGAGAAATAATATCTAGAAAGCCCCCAAATATCTGGAAATTAAACAACACACTTCTAAATAACCTATGGTTCAAAAGGGAAGTATTAAAGGGAAATTTTAAAATATTTTGAACTAAGTGAAAATAAAAATACAACATGTTAATGTTTGTGGGATACAGCTAACAAAGTGCTTAGAAGGAAACTTATAGCAATAAATATATAATTTAGAAAAGAAAGTAGTTCTCAAATCAGTAATTTAAGACATTTTAGAAACAACAAAAAGAATAAATTAAACCCAAAACAAGAAGGAAAGAAGTAGTAAACAAAAATCAATGCAATTGAAAGAATAAAGACAATAGAAAAAATAATAAAAGCAGAAGCTATTTCTTTGAAAATACCTATCAAATTGATAAACTTCTAGCCAGACTCACCATGATAAAAAAAAAAGAAGCAAATTACCTATATCAGGCATAAAAAAAGATACCACTATAGACCCTTTGGAGAAAGTATTTGCAGATTACATATCTTACAAAGGACTTGTACTCAGATTACACAAAGACTTTCAAAACTCAACACTAAGAAAACAAATCTATTAAAAAAGCACAAAAGATTTAAACAGTCACTTTGCCAAAAAAGATAAATAAATGGAAGCTAAACATATGAAGATATGCTCAACATCATTAGTCAATAGGAAAATATAAACTCAAAAGAAATGCCATTTTATACCTATTATAATAGCAAAAAAATTATAAAAACAAAAAAATAAACAACATCAACTACTAAGGAAGGTATGGAGTAACTGGAACTCTCACACTTTGCTGGAGAGAATGCCAAGGGAACAAGCACTTTGGAGAAACACCTTGGCATTTTCTGGTAAACTAAGTATGTACTCACCCATGTGACCCATCAATCACACTCCAAGGTATTTATACATGAGAAATGAAAACTTACATTAACCCAAAACCCCTCCATTAGAATGTTTATGGAGGCTGTATTCATAATTACCAAAAGGTAGAAACAGTCAAAATTTTCTTAAACTTGTGAATGGGAAAACTGTGGTACACCCACAATAGTATATCATCCAGCAGCAAAAGGGAACAAACTTATTATACTTGTAACAACATAGAGGGCTCTCATATGCATTGTGCTGAATGAATGAATCTACACCCCAAAAGCTACATACTGTATCATTCCATTTATATCACATTATGGAGACAAATCTATAGTTACAGAGAATAGATCAGTAGTTTCCAGAAGTGGGGTTTGGAGGAAGGATTAACTACAAAGCAACAGTAGAAAGCAAATTTGGGGGGTAATGGAAATTTTCTGTATTGTGTATGGGGTGCATATATGACTTAAGCACTTGACAAAACCTGTAGACTGTACACTACGAAGGGATACTCTCACTGTATGTAAATTGAAAAATAAATTTTAAAAGAACTAAAATTATTTTTATATTAAAAAAAATCTATGATCAGCTGGAGGTTTATACAAGAGCTCAAAGACATAAGCCACGTCCAAAAAAATTCATGGAGGAGAATGAATACAAGTTTAACATGTGTGTAGTTTATCCTGTAAACAATGAACAAGAGGGAGCACATTTATCCCTTGAGTCATAGTCTCATTCTCTAGGTATTTATAAAATATTTCTGGAAAGAAGAATGAGATCAGTGGAGATAAGATTCCACAGTATGTGTGTGATATTGACCAAAAAAATAAAGAACACATGATATTGAATAGTAGTTTTTAATATTTCTAGCAAATTTTGGAAGAAATAAAACCATTAACTATCTAAAGGGCAAATAAGTCAGGGAAATAGCCTGTTCTTATAAAAAAAATTCATGATTAATAATCTTGAAAATTCTCTAAGGGAGTTATGTGTTTATGAAATTTTTTTTAAAAAGTAGTTATGTGGCATATTTGTGGCTTGTTAAAATATTTCACAGAGACCCTCAGAAAATTTACCTCTAAACTGCATTCATGATAGTTTAAACACAAACACTTGTAGTCACTATTACAATGTGGGTACTTTTCAAAAAAATTACCCACATTTTATAACTTCACACATTTTATTTCATAAAAAGATAGTAAAATATCATAGAAAGGTGTGGTGAGAGTGTATGTTTCTCATGTCCAAAAGAGGTAATGGGAAGATATTTCAGGTCACAAAATGGTAAAAGGTAATACTGATAATGAAAATACTTAAGAAACATATATAAGATCAGTACACTTTGACAGTTCCCTGATTAGAAGTATGGATGAAATAGCAATCCCTATTAAAGCAAAAATTTATACATATGTACATATCTCTGTGTGTCTGTGTATATACGCATATGTGTACATATATATAAAAACTATGTGTGTGTATATATATTTAAACTGTGTGTATATATATGTATATATACACATATATATCTATATTGCAACATAAACATCAAGAGAATTTCTTACTAGCTAATAGGTAATTTTGTTTAAAAATTTCCATTCTATATTTTTAACATTTTTTCTAAAATTAATCTAATATTTATATGTTACTTAAGCCAAAACAACAAAAATTAAATTCCAGGAATGCTGTTTTTTCTTAAGGGTGGCTCCTATTTAGTTTGAAAATTTTTATTTAACAACATTCTAATTGTATTTTTTAAAGGTTACATTTTTCTTCTTGCTGAGCTTTACAAAAAAAAAAAAAAACCTGAAATATTGCTAGGTATTTATATTAGTCTTACGGCTTATGTATATTTTCTCATTCAATTCTCACAACTGTTCTATGGATTAATTATTAGTTTCCTCATTTATAAATTGGAATAATAAGTCCCAGAGCAGTTAAATCCCTTTTGCTTTTTCACATATTTATTATACTACGGTAAAATCAGATTAAAATAAGGGTTCTATTATCTAGTGTTCAATATAGTTTTATTTCTGTTTCTCCTACTCTGTTGCATATTTAAAAGAAAAAAAAAACACTCATTGACAAGTTCTATGGAAGTTGCTCTTTGGATAGACTAAGGTATAGTCTTTCTATTAAGGCTAAGGGTTTAGAGATTTGAAAAGGTGCTTATTTGCATATAAAAGCATTGTCTATATAGAAAAATCACAGTAATTCCACAAAAATACTTCTAGAACTAAAAAATGAGTTTACCTAGATCACTGTATACAAGGTCAAAATGCCTTATCAGAATGCGATCATCTCCCAGGTTTTGGAATCTCTCAGAATTGTTCAATTTAGGGATTCCAGTCGTTCCCCCAGCCTTCTAAATGTGCTGCTTGGTATTCAGTTAATAAAGTCAAGGTAACTCACAATATTTCCTGGAGCACTTCTCTGAGTAGCTTCCTCCTCTCTGATATACAGCCTGTTTTCCGGGCCGTTTCAGCTACCCCAAACTTCTATCTCAGTCTTCACAACTCATCAAGACCCCTAGGCTCTGTTTAAGATCTCCGCACTTGAAATGTGATTCAGTAAATGCTTCAAGATAGAAAGCTGGGATGATTGTATGACTCACCTCACTTTTTCCCCTCCTGCTAGGAACTGTGATTATTCACTTCTTGCAGTTCAATATTTGAATGCAGTTCTTTCTTATTTCATTCAGTTTTCTAGTTGATTTATGAAAGAGAGGAAAATTCAATCCTGATTTCTTCATCATGGCTAGAAACAAAAGTATAAACTTTAATCATCATATTAAAGTAAACTGATCCATTATACTCTAGTGCAATATTTACATTAATAGTAAAGCACAATATAAGATTTCAAAGACATTTAAAGGCCGTGGTTATTATTGTCTTATTTGAGCTACTGGAATGGAAAGGTTGAGATACTGATTTTGCTGATTAGCTTAGCCTATAGCCTTCTAAGCAGGGAAAGAAAGAAGTGGTACACAGATGGACAAGGTGTTCTTAAAATTTTTTTATACTGATGTAGTTTCAAATGTGCAAAAATGATACAAGGAGAATACAAAGAATATCTGTTGACCTGTATTAGTTTTCTATGCTGGGTAACCAACCAGTACAAACTTAGCAGCTTAAAGCAACATATATGTATCACCTCAATATTTATATATGTCAGGAGTCCAGGCATAGATTAGTTGGCTCTTGTGCTCAGAGTCCCTCAATCAAGGTGCCAGTCTGGTAATGTTCCCTTCTGGAGTTTAGGATCATCTTCTACCCTCACATGATTGTTGGCAGAATTCAGTTTATTTTAGCTAAAGGACTGAGCTCTCATTTTCTTGATGGCTGTCAGCTGAAGGCCGCTCTCAGCTCCAAGAGGTCACTCTCCATTCTTTGTCAAGTGCTTTCTCAGACCCTCTCCTAACACAGCAGCTTACTTCCTCAAAGCCAGCAGAAGGATGTCTCAGACATTTACACCCTCTTTTAAAGGGCTTACCTGTTTAGATCAGACCCACCCGGGATAATCCCCCTTTTGATTAATTTAAAGGTAACTGATTTGGGATCCTAATTGCATATGCAAAATCTCTTCACCTTGGCCAGAGAGAGTCATCTAATCATGGAGTGACATCCTCGTTGTCACAGGGCCCACTCACATTCAAGGACAGGGAATTATTCAGGACATGTACGATAGGGGATGGGAATCTTGGGAGCTGTTTTAGAATATGCCTCTCACAGCACCCTTTACACAGTTTGCCCACTGTAACGTTTTGCCACATTCACAGTTGCTTTCATTCTGTTGTGTGTGTGTGTTTCTACATATAGGCATACCTCATTTTATTGTTTTTCACTGTATTGTGTTTTGAAGATGCTGCATTTTTTTTTACAATTCAGGTTTGTGGAAACCCTTCATTAAGCAAGTCTATCTGTGCCATTTTTCAAAAGCATTTGCTCACTTCATGTCTCTGTGTCATATTCTGGTAATTCTCGAAATATTTCAAACTTTTTCGTTATTATTATATTTGCTATGGTGATCTGTAGTCAGCTATTTTTGACTTACTATTGTAAAAAATTACCACTCACTCAAGGGTCAGATAATAATGGTTAGCATTTTTTAGCAATAAAGTCTTTTTAAAATTAAGGTATGTACATTTTTTAGACATAATGCTATGTACATTTAACAGACTCCAACATAGTATAAAAATAACATTTATATGCACTAGAAAACTGACTCACTTTATTGTCACATTTGCTTTATTGAGGTACTCTGGAACCTAACCAGCAATACCCCCCAAGGTCTGTTTTCACTAACTGAAAGAAATCCAAAAAGAATTTTTGCTTTAGGACAAAACACAGAAAACAGAAAGAGCATTCAGCACTTGGTCTGCAGCGAGCCATTACAGAGGCAGCACACTCCCTGAGCAGTAAGAGTGGCACCAACAAGCTCCTTCCCTGGGAATTACACTCAGCCTCTCAGCATCGAGATGCCATAGCTCTGAACTGTGTCTGTGAGCATCTGTGCTTTACCTTGATTTACTCTGTGCATTTGTTAGTACAATGTATCCTAAGGTTCTTCACTTTATGCCATTTCACCTTATGAAAGGTTTCATGGAACACTCTACTTTGTTATACTCCCTCATTCTCTTTTGATATCTAAACATCCAGAATATGATGTTGCCTAGATTCTGAGAATCTCTGTCATATTCTGGGAATTTTGTAGTGCTTTTGTCAAGTGCTTTCTTTTTTTGTTCACATTTTCATGTGAACAAAATAATTAAATCCTTCATGTGAATCAAACATATTTTACATTTGGGATAATTTTTTGTCCCTGATAACCAATATGTTAAGAAATCACATATGTCATTAAAAGAAGACATAAAATCTCTAAGATAAGAGGGGGCAAGACTACAGAAAATTGGAAAAATAAAATCTTGAACGTACACAAAGAGTCAAATAAGTTAATGTATCAAAACTTCTGTCACTGTTACCCTGAAGTTAACGCAACTAACCAATGTCAGCTCCAAGTGGCAACAGGGAATTTCAGAATGTAAATGAAGGAATGGCAGCAATGCAAAGATTGCGGTGTTGGGACTCGGTCATGATTTTGAACCTGCTGTGCCACTTACACTTGTTTGTGCCTTTTGGAAAGTTACTTAACCTCTCTGAGTCTCAAGTTCATCATGTTTAACATATACTTTCAGTAGGATTAAATGAGATTATGAATTTTAAGGGCCTGTACACTGAAGACACTCAGTAAATTAAGCTACATAACTACAATTTTTAAAATAATAGCAGGATAAGTAATGAACAGAATTTGATGCTTAAATAAGAAATCTTTAAGTATGATATTGATATAGCCAGTTTATGTATGACCAAATCTGCAAGTGAGCAGCTGATACAAGGGCAAGCTCTAGTGTGTTAAATACTGGAAAAAATGTTTCCGATTGCTGTGGGTGTTCTCAGATCAAATACTGTTTCTATGAAAAATTGTGTGAAATAGTAAAAATGAGGCATAAATGAGAAGCTAATGAATTTGCATCATTGTTTATGAAAGAATCAAGAAATGATGTGATGTGTCAAGTATCAGAAAAAAGTCTGCCTAACTATTTGGACTTAACAAATATTGGTATAAAAAAATACAGGAATTACTAAAAGAAAGAATATTTGTGACATTAGAATGATTGTCACACCATCTCTCACACTGAAGCAATCTCACTTAGCTACAAAGACGCAATTTTGTGAAAAAAATAAAGATAATTAAAACTTGATTGTTGCAATGCTAATTAAAATATAGTGTTAAGGAAATGACTTATTTTGATTGAAATCTTGCTGCTACTTCATTTCGTTTTCATGAATATAAAAATATAATCCCAGTTTTGTAGCAAGATAATTAAAGCATTTAATTTTCAGTCAAAATTTGCTTAAACCTGATGCCTCAAAAGCTGAGTAATACTTGTCTTACTAAAACACAGATGTTCCAAAAAAATCTTGCCAACTGGATATCAGTTGTACTGATGTAACAAACAAGCACATTATTTGGTGATGGCAGACAGGAAAACTGTATGAATCACAGCGAAAGTAAAAAAGAAAAAAAAACAACAAAAAACAGTATTTTCAAAAGATTTAATAAATAGCTCTGAGCCTTGCCAGAATAGCGGATTGAAGTAGGACATTTACCCAGGGAAAAGTGGCTCAGGAGGGCAGCTCAGGCACATTTAAAGCTGCAGTGACTTACTACAAGTATTCACAGACCTTTAAAGATGTTGAAGCTCTGGTAAAAAAAAAAAAATTCATTAGGCACATTTAGAGGATGAATTAAGGTATTTTTCAAAGAGTTTATGATGCAATGGAGGAGAGAGAAACTTTTTATCTAAATGAATATTCATTACTGTAAGATTTTTAAAGCTCTTGACTAAAATCTAGCCAGTTTCTCCAAAATTTAGATTTGGTTTGAAGTAATGACAAATGAAATCAGGCTGACTCATCTTTCATAATGCTCCTCCATCTGTCCTTTTTCTTTAGACCTGACTGTCTATACCTGGATGCCTGCAATCCTCAAAGATAAACTTGGCAGTCATTAGCACATGGTTTTTGAAGACAAAGACACAGATGAGTCATTTAAGGTGGAAATATAATGTGAGGAGAGAAGCTGACCCCAAAATGAACTCCAAAGACTGCCAACCTTTCTGCTGGAGAACATGATGTTGGCAAAGAATCTGGGAAGGAGTAGCCAAAAGGTTGGTAGAAAGTCAGGAAATATGTGGACAATGGACTGAAATATCAAAAACATTTTTTTGAAAAATATCCATAGGACTTGGTTATATTTGCAAGAACAGTTTTGGGTAAAGTGTTGCACGCAGAAACCAGATTAAAGTGTTGAAAGGTGAGATACTCGTAAGAAAATTAAGAATGTTTACGCGCACAACTCTTTTCAGAGGCTGTAATGGAAGGCGACGTTCAAGGAAGTAGAAGTAGGATGACAGGGACAGAGTTTTGCAGAGAACATATTGACCAACACTGTCAATTATTACACAAATAAGGACTAAACATAGTTTCTAGCTGACTGCCTTGACAAGGGTCATTTCAGTGGAGAGTTGAATGCAGATATCAAGTTGCCAGGGTCTATAATAAAAGGATAACCATGATTTGGAGATATAATATATGTCAGTTATCCATTTATTGCCTCTCAGCTTCACTCCTTTCAATATATGTTTTGAAATAAACAACAGCATTTATTAATTATATCTCCTTTACAGTGAGAATGATGCTAAATTTTCTCAGTAGAAGACACTGGAGGGACATTGAAAAAGGAAGGAGCTCTCCTACAATTTTTTTCAGGATCCGTAAGTGGGCTATGTGGGTATGAGGACAGCCTGTGAAGCCGGCTCCCTCCATGGGCCCAGAACGTGGTCCCTCTGAGACCCTGTAGCCTCAGCTAGTAATAACCTTTCTGTAGCCCACTCTTCTCAGAAACCAGGGTCCTATGAGCTCTGAGAGCCTCTTACCGTCACCAGCTCTAGAACCCCCACTGGTCATTGCTCATCATCTATGCCACCAATTGCTGATGACCTGCTCCCCTCCTGTACTCTGTAGAGAGAGTGTATTAGTTTTCTACTCCAGTTGTAATACATAACCACAAACTGAGTGGCTTAAAACACAAATTTATTATGTTGAAGTTCTGCAGATTATCCAGGTGTCAACAAGGTTGATTCCTTCTGGAGGCTCTAGGTGAGAATCTGTTTCTTTGGGGGTTTTTTGTTTGCC